CCTTTATTAACCTAAATTATTTTTGTCTTGTTAAATATACCTCTGCAGGGCACAATCACATACAATCAATACGATTGGTAAATTACACAAGCTCTATCCCAAGCAAATATGCATCAATGTTAAAAAGTTTTTTTTAAAAAAACAAAAAAACCCCAAAATAAAACAAAATAAAATCCACCCAAAAAGGTGATAATGACTGCAGAATGTCTCGGGGAGACTGGTATGAGCCTAAAGACCAAATTGACCATAGTCATGGGAAAAGGGCAGCAGGAGGAACAAAGGGAGACCACACACAAAGAGGAATCTCACAACTGGAAAATGCTTCAGTGGGTAAAAGATTTTGTTCATCATCTTAATTAACTTTTTCCACTGCTCTTGTTCCAAAAAGTTAGAGTATCGTCATAAAGTAAGACAACAAGGCCTCTGATCAGTGAATAAAATGGAAAAAAGAAAATTCCCCTGCAAGTTCCTTTCATTTCCAGAAGGGCGATTGGGGTGGGGTTGGGATGTGGGGTATGGCAATGAAAATGTGGGCAACAACACACCTGGAAAAAGTAGCTCTCAGGACAGTGCCTTCGTTGAAAAGAGGATGTAAAAATGATAAACAAAAGCTTCAAATACCTTTAAATCAGAGGAATATATTACAGGGTTGTTTAGATACTATTGTAAGAATGGCAGTCAATCAGTGATTACACTATAAATGGTGATTTTAAAAAACAACAATAGGCAACCACCCCCCCCCAAACCAAAACCCAACAACATCCAGGCAACCAATTATCTAATAGTTTCTTTCCATCCTTTTCATGACCCTTTTATGCACTGGCTGGGGTGGGGGGCAGGGGCTGTCTGATAGTTTCCAGTTATAAGATGACTCTGAGTGTACAACCTAAAATGGAAGCCAAAGACTTGTGAGCTCTGTCTACACAGAGTTAAAAACAGCAAAACAAAACAAAAACAACCAGAAACAGACCTCAGTACAAGAAAATAAGTCACCTTGTCTAGTGTGTGTGTGTGTGTGTGTGTGTGTGTGTGTGTGTGTGTATAGATATATATACACATACATATACATACATACATATACTAACTCCACAGGATTTAACTTTTCTAAATACACATTTTTGGACACAATATTATCTTGAGGTTTAACTTTTCTCTCGGGTTATTGTGCCTTATTTTCTTGTGAAAACAAAGGTTATTATTACTCTAGGGATGTTTTGTTTAGGAATAAAATTCAAAGTAAATTCAGTGTTTGGCTGAAAATTCAGAGGCTCTGAAAAGAAGGATTCCAGTGATGAGGTTAAGTCCCTTTATCACAACAATTTCAAAGGGCTCTACCCACTTTCTTCAGTGCAGTATTGAAAACCCACCTATTGGGAACACATTTATTATTAAAAGGTGTTACTTCTTCCTGGTGGTGGCAGTATCCTATTATTAACATCATAGCTAGTATTACTTATCAATTAGAATATTTTATACGTGAAAACATCTTTAGCAGTCAAAGCAATAAAATCTTAAAAACCAAATCTTAAGTTGGTATTTACTACAATTAACAGTACCTTTTAACAAAAACAGCTTTCTTTTTCAAATGGCTCAGAAAAACTGAATAAAGAATAAAATATTAACTGCAATCCACCTACAACTCCCAGTAAATCCTTTCAGCAGGAAAATTTCATAAAGCTGAGCTGAAGCACAAATAAATATAAAAGTCATAGCTGTCCAAGGTAGAAAGGTATGAATGAGGACCAGTAAAATGGGTAAAATGATGACAGCAGTAGACTGCTTGTTTGTTCAATCCCTACTGTTGAAAGTGAAATCTGCTTTAGTTTAGTTGCTCTAATTTTTTTTCTAAAAGGACAGGCTGACTTTTCAGGGAAGAGATCATCTTATAACACTATCACCAGGTATCACCAACTAAAAAATAAACACAATCAGGCTCTTTTAGGGGACAAATCTAGGTAAACACTGAAGTTAATTTCCAGGCAGATCATTAATTTCTCCAAAAAAGTAACTGGATCTTTCCTTTTACAAAATATGTATCATTACAGGTGCTTTTAACAGGTAAATTTAAAATTATGAAACCTTTACTCAATTCTTTAAAATGAGCAAAAATGAAGTGGAAAAAAGATGGTAAGACCTCCATCCATCACCATTTGTATTTAAAAGCGCTCAAATACTTTTTAGTGAAGAGAATGTTTTTCTCTAAATCCAAATGTAATCATAGACATGCAGTGACTATAGTTTATTTCTCACCAGTCACATGCTCATGAATTCTTTTACCCAGTCTCATAGCTTGACCATAGTGATAGAGATTGTCCTTCCAGACACAAGTACAAAACCAAAACACACAAGATGCTATCATGACAAGATAATCTCAAAAAACAGGGGGTCTGCTTACACACAATATTGTAAAAGATGACATTCACTGGTTTAGAGAAACTAGTGAATTTTCATTACTTTTACATTTTATAAGGCCCGCTACCTTTAACAGTTATCTTTAGATAAATCTACTTACACAGTACAATCAACTGACAAATACTAAAAGGTTTCACAATCAAAATGGCTATTTCCCCCAAAACCAAAACAGAGTAAAGCACAAGTCTTTGGCTCTCCTTTAAAGAAAACAGCAGGTTACCATTCTTAACCAGACCTTTGTTTGCCTACCAGTAGGGCAAATATCACATTTGTGCATCACTGAGTAATAACACCATTAGAAAAGGCAACTTCACAGAAGTTATTGGCTAAGCGAATTCATTTGAATGCTCTGTTTTGAGGCAGCAAACTGTCACTGTTGCAGATTGGGGAGGGCAGTGGGTAAGTCAAGGGGAATTTGCAAGACAGAAAAGAGTCAGGAAAAAAAAAAACAAAACAAACTTTGAGCTCCAACCCTGAAGACCTATGGAAAGTCTGATGGAGTTACACATTCATGGTAGCAAATGAGAATCATACCAATTTTATGTCTTTTAGGCAAAAGAATAAATGCATGGGGAAGTCCAGAAGGGAAGGGAAATACGATGAGAGAAGGGAATCAGCCACATTAATGCCATACCAAATAATTTTTTTATACATTCTGAGTATTTGGATATTTATAACTGGCATTAGAAATAGTGTCTTATCATGTGAATACTATTACTAGAAACCTATGCTATAACTAACTGTTCTTTTGATTACAAAAGTTATAAGGAATGGATCTTTGGTCACTTTAGCTTCTGTAAATTACCCAAGACAGGGCAGCTACTGGACTTATCTTGTGACAATATCTATAAGGTAAAAGAACTATATATAAGTTAGGAAACTATGTGTAGATATCTTATTCTTAGCTCTTCTACACTTTTCCAGAGCTACCTTGGGGGAAAAAAAAGTACTTTTATATTCCTAGCTATAAGATTCTGGTTTTGTTATCTAAACAAGAATGAACACAATGATTACTATACTCCTACCTTCACCCTCTCAGAATTGCTCATGTTCATCTGTGATGTCAGTCTTGCTTTTGAATTCAATGAAAAGCAAATAAAGTCATCTCCAGAAGAAATTAATATTTACTAAGTAGAAAGCATAAAAACTGTATTTCCTATTTGACTGATTTAATTTCTTAACTGTCTGTAAAGGCATACATTTTAAAAGCGAAAAACAAAAACAAAAACAAAAAACCCCCAAAAAACAATCCCTTTCACAGGTTTTGACCCAAAAAAAAAAAAAAAAAAAAAAAAGCAGCAGCAGCTGAAGAGTCAAGCAGTTTTGCCCTAAAAGGTTGCTTACCCTTACAGGCTCATCATTTCACAAAGTGTATCACAGAGAAAGGGAAAAGGAAAAAAAATATCCAAACTTTGGAGGTTTTATTTACTTTCTAAAACTGCTTGGGGGTAATAGGAAAGTTTTAAGAATTTCCACGGAGATAAGGCAGAATGACCAATTTAAAATAGGTAAGTTAAAGGCACAGTGGGATAGGCTATCATTCTTCTGCCTTTCCACCCAACCAGATTTCCTCTAGAGTGTGTGGGGCCTTACTGAGGTACAGCTAGAATTAAGGCTACAATTTAAGTGATCTGCCCCCCACCCCCATCACCAATGAAATTACCTTAAAAAGTGAAAGGGACTATTTTAAGTCAATTCAAAATAGTGGCTTTTCTGGTTTTATTCATAATAGAAATACTACCTATTCCTGCCTAGCTTATGAAATCAAAATGGTGGAAGCAAGGAGTGTATTTGGAGGATATAAAAATAAGAATAACAGAAGGTGACTTATTAGATGTTTCAATGGATATCCAAAATAGAATTTTACTTTTATTCTTAACTTCAACAAAATCAATACTCAAAAATTCCCTAATATCAGAATCATTCTGAGTTCCAAACTGAACCAACTGCTTCTAAAATTTAGGAATTATCTAACATGTCCAAATGAGAAATAAGATCTGCCCAAATCTGCCTACAGAAGGTTGGAGGCCAAGAATGTTGCCTTTTATAGTTATACAAAGAAATGAAAAATCTTGGGACTCTGTCAGACATACAAAGTTTCTCTCCTTCTCCCAAAAAACAATAAGCACTTACATATAAGAGGGTTTCAAGCAAAAACAAAAACAAACAAAAAAGCAAAAAAAGCAAGTGTGTATTTTTTAAAAAAGGAAAATATGATATCAACTGAGAAAATGCCTCATCTTCATTCAGTGCTTCTACCTCCCAATCAGTCATTTTATCGCAACAGCTGCGCTCATGCGAAAAAATCCTTAAAACATACCCAATATATATACAGATATAGCTATGTATATATGTATATATATATAATATATATAAATTTTTATTTAAATAAAAAAGAAAGCTCGAATCCCAAGCCAATATGTGTATATCAAATCCTTGACCAGCCAGGTCTGTAGGGCATAATCAAATTCAATGTGAAATAGTATATAAACACGGTGCCTTGACTGGGCAAATTAAATAATCGCTACTCAAAAGAGTGTTCTGTTTGGACTCTCCTACTGGTAGGCAATGGCAGGACTGTATTCCCCCCCCCCCATTTGTTTCAGTTAACAGTATGATGGACACAGAGCTTACACTGAGGTTGTTATGACCTCAGCAGGAGTTAAGGGTTAAGAAAATAAGAAACAAGAAAAATACAAACTCTTGCTTTTACCCAACCAAAGCAATGCAGTAACTTATTACATAACCAGTGCTTTCTGTTTTAGTAGTATAGTCCAGAAAGGGAAAGTTTTAAAAAATCAGGCAAACGGAGGGATGGGGAGGGTGACTACATCAAATAATCCCCACTAAACATGTTCTAGAGGGTCTTAGTTCAGTATAGACACACGGCATCAGAATATGTGCAGCAGAACTAAATTAAAAAAATTCTTCCTTATTCTTTTCAACACTTTTACGAAGAATCTCTTCACTACTGTAAAGTCAAGTCTAAGAAAACTGACTTTTAGATATTTACGACCTAATGGTGCCAATGATTCTGAACAACACCCAGTCAATTCATAACTATCCTTAAGATCTGGGCAGTCTGTATTTGCCAAATCTACTTGAAAGCCAGTGGCTTTCATGTGATTTTATACTTTTGGGTTTTGACAGTAAAACAAAATAAAAACATCCACTGAAATAACATGACTGTTCATTTTCAGTTCAAGTCAAGTGTTGCAGTTTTAAAACATGGTTGATTTTTTTTAATACATTTTATGATTTTAGCAGGAAGTTTAATTTGAAAAAGCACAGCTCCAAATTTCCAACCATCCGCTTAGTACAGGTAATACACTGACCATGTATTTTCAGTACTAGTAAGTTACAGTTCATTCTTAAAATCATCTCCATTTAAACTAATCAAAGAGCCTATAATATTGGCCTGACTTTCTGATTACATTAAGAGAATGACATGGATCCTTAATATGGAAGTGAGGACCAAAAAGTTAATTGGTAATTAACTCTCTGAAAAGGCGAAAACTAAAAGTTTTAGTGCCATATGAAAAACATACATATGAGGCCAGTAACCAGAAAGAGAAAGAAAATTATGACTTTCAAGTAATAGCTCTTGGAAAAGTTGGTTTGCTGCACATTTTCTAATAACTAGTCTACTACTGTCTCTCTGTTTCTCAAGCACCACCAAATTCTCACAGTCTGGTGCTTTCTGTCTGTTTTAATTTATGGGGTTTGCAAACGTTGGATAGGACTGGGGGTAAGGAATTATACACTGGGTATGTAATAATACCAAAATACAAGAAAAACCTACTTCATTAAGATCATACAATTAATCAAACAGAGTGTATATATAATATCTTCTTTTTTTTTTAAAGCCCTGGATCCAAGGCGTCCAAAGTTATTAAAATAAAGTTCATTCACAGAACAAAAACAAATTTAATCTGAATTGCTTGCAGATACTGCTAATTTTCTTTTTCTTTTTCTTTTTTTTTTTTAAATTAAAAAATGCATTAATGTGAACTATGTGCAGGGTTTGTTTTTAGTAGTGGTGTTTGTGCACATTGCCTCCGCTACTTTTCCTTGATTTCTCTGACCACTCTCAGAGAAAAAGTTTAGAAGTTATCTGTTCTCCTACCCCTATGCCCCACAAATTAATCAGGAGCAAAAGATAAACGTTGGACTCTTCATAATTTAGGGAGCAGAAGTGGGTGTGACTCCTGCTCTCTGGGAGTCATTGTTGTCACCTCCTCCCTCAGGGTCCTCTGACAGGTTCAGAGAGCTGGTCTTGTTTGACAGGAGGCTGATATTCTCTTGTGTCAAAGCTGAGCCATTTGGTACATCGCTGTTAACATATAAAAAAAAAAGTTGGAATTTTAAATAAGGAGAGAGGTAAAAATGAGTATTAGCAGAATAAAATCAACAGGGTCTTTCTTGCGGCACCTGGGTGGCTCAGTGGGTTAAGCCTCTGCCTTCAGCTCAGGACGTGGTCTCAGGGTCTTGGGATAGAGCCCCACATCGGGCTCTCTGCCTATTTGTGATCTCTCTCTCTGTGTTAAATAAGTAAATAAAATCTTAAAAAAAAAAAAAAATAGGGCCTTTCTTTTACTAGTATGGAAAAATATGCAAGTAGCTTTTTTGGACTTTCGGACTTTAATTTACAGTTCGATGTCTATGGTTTAAGCATAGGGGTTGGCAAACTAAGGCTAAGCAGTGCCTGTTTTTATAAGTATAGTTTTATTGAAACATAGCTTGCCCATCTGTTCATGGATTGTCTATGGCTACTTTCACACTACAAGGGCAGAACTGAGAGTTTCTCCACAGAGACTGTAAGACCCCTAATTTTAAATTCTTACTATCTGGACTAAAAGCTCTGACCCATGCTTTACCAGGCTTACAAGTACAAGAAATTATTTAGAACTCAGGACAATGCATCGATTTAATTAGCTAAAAACTAAGCCTGAAAGCAACAGGGCATTAGAAATTATTGCTATGCAATCATCAGGAGAGTAATTCAGGACTATGCCGCAAATGACTTCAAACTACCCTGAGGAAATAATGACAGCTGTGCACATAAAGAACTACGACAAACCTGTTTATTGTAGGGTTGTTCACAGAGAGCTAACATGTATCCCTCCACCTCTAGATGATATGGGATAGACCGAATTAAAAACCAAGGGGATGGGGTGGAAGGTGGATTTGAAAAGGCTAAATCCCCACACACTTTAGAAGGGCTGGAAAGGTCTACAGCAAAATGTTAACAATGGCTTTAAATAAACTAAAAAATAGGAAAGAAGAAATGGAGCCAGAAAAGTTAATTTTTAGGTATTAACAGTAATTCAGTTTTGAACCTGTTCTAAACTTCTAAGTTTTATATCTAAATTTATGTGAAAATATTCTTAATGTATACAGAATGATAATTTTAAAAACAAATCATATTTATGAGGATACTTCTGTCAAGACTGCATAATGTAAGACTATAACAATGTCCCTTCCTTTACCTGAATGTCAAAGTAAGGTCCTCAGCTGGAACCTTATTTTGTGGTTCTGGTTGTCCATTTTCAGCTTGCTTACTTGTATTCAATTTGCTTTTCATGTCCAGGGAACACTGGTTCTCCTTTGAAAGAGAAGGAAGTAAATTCAGTTATCTTCTATTTAATGGTGCTAATGAGAGACCAAATACAGATAATACAAATTGATAATTCACAAATCATATACACTTTTTTTTTTTAATCTCATAGTGAGTCAGAAATGTTTAACCAGTTAGAATGTCATTGCCTCAGAGGAACTTGAACAATCATATACATTTTTATAAAATGACCAAAGAAATGGGCAGCCTAAAAGAGAGACATACATGATAATAATAGAGTACACTTGCTCACTATCCAAGCCAGAAAACAAGGGGGCAAATGCCTCAAGTTAGAAAAACTGATGACTTAGAAAAGGTAAGCCAAAATGTAATAACTACCTATAATGTGCTTACTGAAGCCAGAAAAATGAAATACCCCATTTATTTGCTTGGAAAGAACGTGAAAATTATGCAACCAAAGAGTCAATTACCGTGCAACCGGGGGGAATGGTTCAATCGCCAAATCCAAAATTTACTAACACTAGTATGCATGTACTAGGAAGCAAATCCTAAGTATATCTATGGATACAATTCCTCAATAAGGAAAGTGTAGATCGCATTTTACTCATAACAAAAAACAGGTCTTCAATAACTAAAGGCTATAAAAACCAGAATGCTACTTGTGAACACATATTCACAAAATCATAAACACCATCCCCTCATCTTCCCTAACCAGGATATTTAACAGTAATTTAATATTGTACAATTAACTGCCTTGTTTTCCCTTAAAGTTTTTCATAATGCAGAATTCCTAAGACCGAGAACACACTCAAACCAAAAGGGAATGAGAGGAGGAATGAATAAAAAAGGGAGCTAGCTCATCCTCATGAAACTTATTCTAAGTATTAACCACTCACTAGAGTGCCTTGGGGTGATGATTCTAGAGCTCTAGAGCCATGAGTTCTCTGACATCACTACACAGAAGCTTTCCTTTTCACCTATCCCGGCTCCCACGCTTTCCCACCAGAACACTCACCATACTCAGTTCCCGGGTTCTCTTCCCGATTTCCCTTTCCACCTGGTGCAGTTCCAAGCTCAACTGCTCACTTGAAATCATTCCAGGCCACTTTGGAGGTGGTTGTGGGGGCTGTGACTGGCCTGCCAAGGTGTTCACCTCCCTCTGCAACACCAGCCTGTTACTAACAGCCTAGTACATAAAGCCAAGCACATACACAACTCAACACATTTCACACCATGCACAGAATGACCAGGCCCAATTTCAGACCACTGCTTCAAATAGTTTATCATGAAGATATTTGCAATAAAAATGACACTATAAGGTTCTCTTTTGAGTGCCATTTGAACTAAAAAGAAAAACCAGGGGATTTAAACTTATTAAACAGTAATTTAATCTTAGGGATAAGTTCCTCTTACTTGATTTGAAAGAGAAGTCAAGTATAAATGCATATTTCTTCCCCTCTTTTAAATGGAATTTTCTGAAGTAAATCCTGCAATTTATTTCAATGAAACCTCAGTAATGGCAAAGACATTTAACCATACGGAGTTAAATATGTGGCAAACTTCCAAATGATGCTGTTTATTCTTTTGGAACAGAAAATGAGTCTACAAATTTCAAATAAGACAAAAAGCCATGACCTAGCAGGGTAAGAAATAATACTTGCAGTTAATGGTCTGAATCTTTAAAAAGCTAATCAACTAAAGAAGGACATAAACACAGCATTCTATTTTTTTTTTTAACAATAGAAATCAGGAAGAAGTTCTAGACCAGTGTAAATAAAATAATGGCACAAGAAGATGAAATATGAGTATTACATAGTTAAAAAAAATTCTAAGCCTAATTGCTTACATAAGAGCACAAGTCAGACATGTGTTCCAAAAAACACAATCTCCTACTTGTCTTTGTAATGAGGAATCTGAGAATTAGTTAAAAATTTATTCCCAAAGGGGTGCCTTCCTTATCAAAGATTTTGGTAGAAAGATAACAACTAATGTTCTAATAGTTACTTCTTCTCCAGAAGGGAGCAATGTATTTATCAGCAGAATGTCTTCAGTTTTCTAAATTCAAAGAATACGCTCCCATGTAAATAAAGCAAACAAAACCATCTTCTTTATGTGGCACTTTTAAGAATTTTAAAAATTCTTTGTTTTCAGATATTTTTTCTCTTTAAGTGTTAGGCAACACGGTGGAAAGAACATTGAATTTGGAGTAGGAAGAGTTGGGTTTATATTTCAACCTCTGTGAAACTCCTATCCTTCAACCAGAAGAGGGGGACTATACCACTTGCCGAACCTACATGACCAGGTCATTGTAAGGGTCAGTCAGGACCTGTGATTGGTAACTTATAAACTCAAAGAAGTAGATTAATGAAAAGTACAATCGCTATACAGAGGCTCTTTTTTAAGTCCAAGTTCTAAAATTCTATCTTTTAAGGATATATAAATAAATGTGGAGGATTAAAGGAAAATTTTTTTAAATTAAGAAAGGCAGTATGAAAAATGAGAAATGTTAAGCTAAAAGCATTTGTTGATAAAAACTGTATACCTTAAATGTGCCATCAAGGAATCGAAGTTTCTGCTGGGAAATTTTTAGATAATCTGTTTTCTATTTTCATGGAATAGAAATTCTAAATTTCCTATTATCCCACACTGAATTCTTAAGTACTTAAATTCTTTGAAGAATGGACACCTATACTAACTCTTTAAGAAACAGCCCTTAAGTTTTTATGTTCATAGTACCTTAGAAGTTCTTCCTTTTAAAACCTCTTTGAGAACCCTTCAAAAATTGGAATGAAAAAAATATCTGTAGGCTGGTACCTCTAGCCCACGTAGCTGAGTCTGTTGGCTAATTTGATGGTTTAGTTGTTGCAATTCTAGTCGTAGCTGTTCCCTCTCAGCAGATGGAAGAGGTTTTCCATGACTGGCCACTTCTGACATGGACATTCTCTCCCTTTGGTGGGAAAGAAGGATAAAATATTATTGACCTAATGTAACATTTTGTGTCAACTATACTGCAACTGAAAAAAACCAAATTGAAAGAAAACACACACCCCCGCTAGGTTTGATCTACTACTGTGCTGACATAAAAATCTGTGTTACTTCATAATGAAAATAACAAAAATCACTGACAAGAAAAATAAACTAAGAAAAGCTGAATAATTTTAAAGGTTTATAAAAGTAGAAAGAATGACTCATACCTCTCACCGAAGTGTCCCTGAGAAGGAATGTTTTGATGAGTTGAATATGGAGACCCTCCCCAGCCACCGTGGGTTCCATATGGACTATAATCTGTAAGAGAATAATTTACTGTGCGATGATGCAATTCAGAGATTTCATTCTTTTAAGTAGCCATAATCTGGGGTGCCTGGGTGGCTCAGATGTTAAGCGTCTGCCTTTTGCTCAGGTCATGATCCCAGGGTCCTAGGATCGAGCCCCACAGTGGGCTCCCTGCTTGGCAGGGAGCCTGCTTCTCCCTCTCCTCCACCACTCTCTCTCTCAAATAAATAAATAAAATTTTTTAAAAATAAGATAGCAATAACCTAAAAAGCACAGGCATATTTTATACACAGCTATCTGGAAAGATGTCCACTAATGTAAGAGGGTACTGATGTTTTTTCCTTACTAAAAGATACCAGTCTTTGTAACTCTTTCTTTCTTTTCCTTTCTTTTGGCAGAACTGGAACTCACAACCCTGAGATCAAGACGTGAACTGCAATCAAGAGTCCAACACTTAACCAACTGAGCCACCCAGGCACCCATTTCAATTTTTTAAAATGAGAATGTATTATTATTATTATTATTTTTAAAGATTTTATTTATTTATTTGACAGACAGAGATCACAAGTAGGCAGAGAGGCAGGCAGAGAGAGAGGAGGAAGCAGGATCCCTGCCGAGCAGAGAGCCCGATGTGGGGCTCGATCCCAGGACCCTGGGATCATGACCTTAGCCAAAGGCAGAGGCTTTAACCCGTTGAGTCACCTAGGCGCCCCGAGAATGTATTATTTTAATAAAAGCAACACAGCTATTAACACACAACCAACATAGGCAATCTTCACAAAGAGACATTTTAGTTTGTACCCTTAGAAATCTCTGGGTTATTAATTACCTATCTGTAGGGATAATACCATGAAAGAGTTTAAAAGATTACTGCCTTGGAAGATTATGAAAAGTACTCACAGTAAATGGGGAGTAGGGATGGCGGCTGAAAGTCATGAATAAGAACCCACTAGATCAGCTTACCTTTGATTCTTACCTGAAATATTAACAGGTTTTGTGGGAGCTCCCTGAGGTGCCATGGCCTGCATTGGACCAGCACCCTGGTATATTGTTTTGGAGGTTCGAGAGATGGCACCAAACCGAGATACAGTTGGTCGGTCTCCAAATGGGATAAGGTCATCATCACTGGTTTCTGCTGCTCTTCTCTGAAGATCCAGTCGCTGATCTCTCATTCCTTTACTCTCCACATTCTGGGAAAAAATAAAATGAGAAATCCACCCTACACTTAGCTCTCTAACATTATTTCCTCCAGCTCTGTGGTAAGGTTTTAAAAAAAAAGAGTATAACGTCTTTATTGGTAGGACTAAAATAATTTGCTTGTCATTGTAAACACTGCTTTTTAAACCTCCGATCACAGTAAGAAATACATCTTACATCACGACCCAGTACATGTATATACATTCTAACATACAGATATAATTTCATGATAGATATTTACCTCTTACTGTATGTGCTCCTATATTTATACTGTTATTCTAAATTATTCTTAAAAAAAAAAAAAAAAGACCCATCACAACCCACTCAATTTCAAAACTCAATAGTTAGAAAACCACTGCCTAGGGGCACCTGGGTGGCTCAGTGGGTTAAAGCCTCTGCCTTCAGCTCAGGTCATGATCCCAGGGTCCTGGGATCGAGTCCCGCATTGGGCTCTCTGCTCGGCAGGGAGCCTGCTTCCCTCCCTCTCTCTGCCTGCCTGTCTGCCTACTTGTGAGCTCTGTCAAATGAATACATAAAATCTTAAAAAAGAAAGAAAGAAAGAAAGAACGAAAGAAAACCACTGCCTAAAAATATGAAGTGCCAAGGCAGATGTTTCGAAGAGATTCCAATTAGAAATTAAGTACCAAGATAAATGGAAACAGAAATCTAACTGGTAGGCACTTGTTGCTCAAAATATAGTTTGAGGGCCAATAGCAGCAGCAGCAGCATCATGTGGGAACTCATCAGAAATGCAGAATCTCAGGTCCCACCCTGGTCTTACCGAATTAGGAACTGCACTTTAACAGGTTCTACTTAGACTCTGACATAATTTATATGCACACGAATGTCTGAAAAACACTAATGGTCTTTCAACCATTTGGGAGATTTTCAATTCTGTCTAGGTTAGGTTGACAAATATTTTTATTTTTGAGAGATTTAAGGAAATGAGTCTTATTTTGCTAATTTTGGTTTTAATATAATAATCCTCCACCCATTTAAGAAGATTTTAATTATTTGAGAGAGAGAGAGAGAGCATGAACAGGGAACGGGGCAGAGGGAGAGAGAGGAGCAAACTCCCTGTAGCCAGGAAAAGAAATAATTTGTATATATATTTACTATACAACACCAGTTATCATACAACGGTATTTGATAAAAGCAGTTAAAATTAAAGAACCTGACCTATAACTTTGGATACATCTCAAAAAACAAACTTGAATGAAGATGCAAGTTGAAATATGTAATATATATAAGGCCTATAAACAGACAATCCAAAATTGTTTAGGAATAGTATAAAAGTATCCATGAAATGATAAAGTTTCAATTCAAGATAAAGGTTACCTTCAGGGAAGATGGAAGGAAGAAAAATGAGATTGGGGAGGTATATACAAGAAGATTTAACTACTTCTATAAAGTTTTATTTCTTTAAAAAATAAAGAAGCAATTAAGATAGTTTCATATATATATATATATTTTATATATATAAAACTTAGTATTAGACACATAAAAATAAAATTGAGCAATTACAACACATTTCTATGTATTTCAAGTTCACTTGAAGCTTGCTAGCTACAATTCTGACTCAAATACTACTGCTGCTCATTAGATTCAACTTCATTGTTTAAACCTCAGAGCTGTAAAAGTTATAATTTACTTGAACAAGAAATCCAAGATCCTGATTAATCATACAAAATAATTTAATTTGGGTTCTAAACAGTTGTTTGGTTAACTGTTGGCTGCTCAGAAATACAGTAAATGATCTTCTTTGTCTATCTAGATGTGCATTAGAAGATTTATGTTTATACCTGAAAGAAACAAAAAATCCATATAGTTTAAACATAATTCAATTCACATCATATAGAATATGGTCTGAAATTCTTAAGGAAATCTCAATTATTTATGTCTACACTATTAACGGGGCCTGATTCATCTGGCTTATCTTCATTTGTATTCATTATGACTTAGTATCAGACATACCATCATTTCCACACTTCCCGCTGCCACCACATCTTTGGGTTTTGCATCTTTGGTTCCAATGTAGGAGCCGATGGTGTCACATGACCAGGGAGAATACTGGCTATAATCATTTCCTTTGTATTTCCCAGCTACCTTCAAGTCTTCATCCAGAAACTACAGATGGGGGGAAAAAAGTATATATGTATGTATAGGAAATGGGTCTTACAAATAACAACACAGAAAAAGCAGGAATGTCTTAGAACACCATATGCTAAAGCAACATGATGATTATCTGATCTGTTACAACAGAAGATTTTTGTAAACTGAAAAATACACAAGTGAAGATGGGATTTTTGAGGAGGTCTGCTCATCCTTTTCTTTATCAGATGGAAGTCAACACTTAAACTACTATGTACCAGGCCCTAGCTTTGCTGGACACTCCTCATTGTTTCTTTTAAGAACATTCCAGGTAAACAACAGCATTAAAAACTACTTAAAATGTAGCTTAGAATATTCTATATAGTGCATCATGATGCAGTAACTTTTTTACTAAAATCTCTTTAATAGCATTAATTCGTATTTTAAATAAATTCTCATCTTGAAGCTGATTCTGTGAAGTGAAAAGGGTAAGATACTGAATTTTCTTAAGATGATTTCTGAAATTATATAGTGACAGAAAAGCTATTCTAGGTCTAACGTATTTTTATTAAAATCACAATACTGACATTTGTGTAAAGTTTTACAGTTTTCAAAGTGTTTTTAAGTATACTACCTCATACGTTCCTCAGATCCATATGAGAACACAGCTGATCTAAGGCTAGGCTACATACACCATTATAGGCCAGTACTAGGACTAGAACTTTATCAGAAATATATATACATTGATATACTGGTAACATAGGGGCTACTGATATATCTAAGTGGTTCTATGCCTCCCCCCTATCTTAAAAAAAAAAAAAAATCTCTTTTCTGAGTCATCATTACTGGTTTTCTATAGTGACAGAGGGTTTTGCTGTTCATAAATATTAATCATTTTCACCCACAACTCCCATTTCTATTGTTTATAAACTGTTTTGTCCTATCACAATTTAAAAATTTTATCTCTTTATTTCTCCTTCACATGATAATTTCATGTAGAACAGCTAGCTTTTTAAAGATATGACCTACTAACAAGAGTGCTCACCCTGCCCCACCCTAATATATTATGTGGCTGTTAAAAAGAACTAGATAAATTTATATACTGACAAAGAAAAATATACAGGATAATTGGTCAAGTAAAAACAATAAAAAATATAAATATTAACAAAACCACAGGATATATTACTAAATGATCCTATTAAAAAGTAATAGGTTAGTTCATGCACACAAGGGTTGAAATATATTTAGAAAGTTGAAACTTATAATAAACTTACAGTGATACAGAAAATGGGATTTTGGAGAAATTTCTCTATTTTGTATTCTTATAATGTATGAATTTACATTTATTTATTTATTTGAGAGAGTACCAAGGGGTGGGTAGGAGCAGAGGGAGAGGAAGAAGCAGGCTCGGTCCCAATGGAAATACAATGAGACCTACATATATAATTTTTTAAATTTCTGGCAGTCACATAAAAAAAAGAAACAGGTAAAATTAATTTTAATAATATATTCTATTTAATCTAATACATCCAAAGTATTAT